TGGACATGGCTGTAGGGTGACTGCGCTGTCGATGGATGGAAAGTCATGTGCAGATTGGTGCACCTGCTCTAACTATTGCTGTGCTCAGCGTGGCTGTGAGTAGTGGGCTGGAGGAGGCAGGACAGCTAGCTGGATCACCCTCGGTATTTGTGAAGACTTCAGGTGGCACCCATTGCTGAAGCTAGAGGAGGCTCTGTGTCTAGGAAATGAGGGGACACCAGGTTGGAGTACTTGCTCCAGCAGCCTCGGTTGGGACAAGCTCTTTCCTGCCGACAGTGATAAAGGCAACCGTTGAGTTTCATCTGTGAATAACGAGCTGGTTCCCGTGACAGTCAAAGCGGTGCTTATGTTATATTAATATTTATTAGCAGCTACCGATGTTGGGGCTCACTCGTTATCTGAGCCACACATCAGAGCAGTTCTGTAAGGATGCAGGAAAACCACAACCCAGATGCAATTAAACCGCTGCACTCTGTGCCTGTGTCCGCCAAGGCTGGGCCACATGGAGCAGAGGTAAGAAAGCAACCATCCTCCGCTCAGCTCCCCGTCTTCCCCGACCCAGCCAGAAAGAGGAATGTGCCTCACCTGGGGCCTGGGAAGCTGGAATCCCGGCCCTGGGAGCAGGGAGCAGGCGGGAGCAGGCGGGAACAGGCATCCTCCTAAACAGCAGGGACCAGCCAGAAAAGCAAAGATTTTGAGGTTCTGCCCCTGACATTCTGGAAGCCACACTCAGACCCCAGTGTCCTGTGCCTGGCACCTCCCCCTCAGCAGATTGACTGAGGTTATAGGGTGCATGCTGGAATATTAAATGTTTGGGATCCAGTCCCAAGATCTTCCTGCAGGGAAGTTGGGATCCAGGCAAATGTCTGACCCTGTCACACCATTGCTTTGCTGTGCCCAGCCCACAGTGGCACTCATTCTGTCAGAAACCCTCATCTGTGTGCCTGTGTGACAATGTTCTATGGGCCTACTGTACATGTAATGAATGGGTCTAAACTCTGAAGGGCCAGCCGTATGTCCTGGCCTCACCCCAGGTGCCTTGGCACACATCCCGGCCTCTGCTCCAGATGCCAGCCAACGGGTACTGCCCCACTGGCTGTCTTAGTCACCTTCTGTTGCTGTGACGAAATACCATGACCAAGGCAACTTCTAGAAGGGAGAGTTTCTTTAGGCTTATCGCTCGATTCCCTGGTGGGAGAGTGGAGGCATGGCGGCAGGTGGGGGAAGCTGTGGGCTCACATCTTGACTGCCAAACAGGAAACAGAGAACTAATGGCATCTAAAAGTCTCTCAAAGCCTGCCTCCAGTGACATCCCTCTCCCAGCCAAGGCCACACTGCCTCATCCCCAAATAGTACCACCAGCTGGTACCAAGTATTCAAACGATAAGCCTATTCTTCTATTCTAACCATCACACTGGCCTCGCCTCTCCTCCCTGCCCACACTCAGTACATACTCCGAGGGGAGAACTTGTCTTCATATCCACCTTGTACCACCTCCCCAGGAAGAATGTAGGGATCTTGCTGGGAAAGAAACCAACATCTAAATATTTACATTACAATTGTATTATGCAGATATTTATATTACAATATCAAGATTATAGTTATAAAGTAGCAATGAAAACAATTGTATGGTTGGGGTCAGCACAACACGAGGAACTGTATTAAAGGGTCACAGTATTAGGAAGGTTGAGAACCACTGCTCTAGAACCGTAGGGAAAAGGAGCCTTTTCTCTAAGTTGACCAAGCCTCTATGTTAGAACTCGCTCTTCTGGGCTCTGGGATCTTAGCATATAAAAATTTTCAAGGGGCGTGGGTCCCATGATCTCTAAGCTGTAGTCTGTGGCTCTGACCCTTGGGCCTCCTGACTGGGTTGTGACTTAGGGATGGGAATTCAGCTGTAGGTTGTGTTTTTCTGGTGACTGTCGGAATAGGGCATCATGGAACTCAGTGTTCTGAAGTCATGAGCAGCTCAAGGCCACTCACAGCAGACAGCTCCAACCCCAGCGTTCTCTGTCTCATCTGGATGTTATGGTGGATGTTGCTATGGAGACTCCTCCTGGCTACTATCAGCAGGAATCTTCTTGCATAGGGCCTTGCCAGTGTGGTTTCTGATGTTCCGTGTGCTAGCCACCACCTAGCTGGAGTTTGAAGGAGAAAGTGAAGAGATCTTTGTGGGTCTGGAGGAGGGGCTTCCCCCACCCCCAGCATGTTTTGTCAATCTTCCTTCCCCACAGGGACCCTCTTCTTCACCAGAGTCAAGAAGAGAGCTCTGTGTATTGTCATTAAGGTTTGCATTGGTTTGGGCTTGGAGAAGGGCCACACAGAAGCCATCGGAAGTGGGAAAGAGGGGGAGGCGTTAACCAGAGGGTCTCATGCTGATGGCCTCAGAGATGAGAGCCATGCTGGCTCTGTCAGCCACTGTAATGGGACAGAGATAGTGAGATGGAACCCTTTCCCCCAGAGGATTCACACTGGCTTCCTGCCTGACAGACTGGGTCCCACTCTGTCCCTAGCCGGTCTGAGGAGGAAATGCTTAAGAGGTACTCAGGAGCTTCCAGTTGGAAGCCCCTTAACCCACCTGTGGGTTGCAACGGGGCCTTGATATGCTTTATTTGTGCTGTGGGGCAGATGAATAGACCCTACTTCTTAGCGATGCAGAGGCACCTGCTAAAGGCAGCTTGGCTCTCCAACCAGAGGGGTGTGTTCCTTAGCTTTGTGTCGCTGTCGTGAGGTAACCAAGATAGTTTGTAAGGGAATGGATGTATCTAGCTCATGGTTCTGGGCATTCAGGTCCAAGATGGCTTTGGGCCTCTTGAGAGCATGTGGGGCACATGACAGAGCAAAGCACTTCCTTCTGGCCAGGAGAGAGAAACACAGATGCAAGAGAGAAAGAAAGGGCCCCACAGCCCCACTAGGTTATGTCCCCAAAGACCTAAGGACTTCCTGCTGAGCCCCACCTTCTGCAGGTCCACAACATTTCCCCAAGACGGCAGCACCCTGGGTCCAAGCCTTTCACACAGAGACTTTTCCAAAGGAGGTCAACAGGGTGGGCTGACCCCAGGTTGCCCTCTGTCCTGCTCAGGCCTGGGGTGATGTTCCTCTCTCCCACACAACTTCCTATTGTCCCCTAATCCCGTGGCTATGTAGCGCCCATCCCCACAGGACCACTCCCTTTAGTCTTCGTGGTACAAGCATCTTTCTGTGGTCATTGGGGCCAGAAAACACTAAGTGGTCCTTGTAATTGGTGTCACAGCAAATCTGTGCTTGCTCCCTCCTTCATCCCTACCAAAGCTCATGAGTCATGTCTCCTTGACACTTGGAAACATTTGCCAAAGACAAGTTTTTCCATTTCCAAAGTCACGTGAGCTTCTGCCCCTGAAGATGGAAGGGTCTGCCCTAGCCTGCCTCCCAGCCACATGGTAGCTTCTCCACCCTCTCTCAGACTGCCCGTGGGACTGAACTAATACAGGAAAGTTATCTTTGACTTTTATGGCCCCTTTTCCCTCTATTAAAATGCTCAGAGCTATAAATGTCGTCATCAGCAGCTCGTTTATCTTGACAGAAGTGTGGCTGTAAGTGAGCCAGCCTCTGAAGCGACTGCTTCTGGTGCATCGATAAATCCCAGCCCGGAGCGGAGAGGTCAGTCCTCGCAGACAAAAACGCCTTCTCACTTGGTAATGAGCTCTTTATGAGGCTGTGGAAGGACGGACGCCTGGGCAAGGTTCCGTGCCACCTAGAGTCCTTGCGGCATCAGCTGGGGATGGGCCTTTCGTGTGAGGTGGCAGGAATGTTCTGGGAGGGCTCCCGCCATGCCCAGAAGCAGCAAGATACTGGTACCCTGCTTGGCAATGTTTGCTACTGATGTTTCCCAGCGGTGTGGAGACTGGACGTGGACTGAGAACTGTCAGGTCTCTGGTGCTCCATGCAGTGGGTTCCACAGTACAGTCCAGAACCCCACTGGACTCATGGGACACTGCACTTAAAGGCACCTTATATTTAATACCCTCTGAAAAAGAGCCGGCGGGCACCCCAATCCAGGTTATGCAACTGTGGGGTTGGGTGGAGTTGGCCAGGTTCTTAGTTGAAGTATCTAACAGGTTCTGTGGTGCAGACCTCCTACAGCCTACAGGACACCCCACTCCACCCCTGTGTACAGCTAGCTGAGAGTGTCTTTTGGTCACTTGGAATCAAGCACAGTGGAAGCAGAGCTGTCCCTGTCGTTGCCCCACTGGAAACTCTGGGTCTCAGTGAACCTTGATCTTTCCCTGCTCTCCTGGCTTCCCATTCCTTCCTTCCTTCCCCCGAGTGTAAATTACCAAGGTGACAGACAGACGCTGCCTCTGTCACAAGTCAGGAAAGAAGGCTGGACCCGAAGCAGAAACGAAGGCTTAGGACCACAGGCGTCGGTGCTTACTGAACAGAGACAGCCAAAGAAGCACTCAGAGATGACGGGTCTGCATGGAAGCACGCACCTGTGCCAGGGTGTTTTATACAGGGTCTCTCTGTGTCGTTCTGACTGCCCTGGAACTCGGTAGACCAGGCTGGCCTGGAACTCACAGAGATTCTCTTGCCTCTGGCTCCCTAGTGCTGAGGTGAATGGCGTGCTCCACTATGCCTGGCAGTCCCAGCACTTGGGAGGTGGAGGCAGGAAGATCCAAAGTTCAGAGTCATCCTCAGATGGCAAGTGCAAGGCCAGTCAGAGGAACACCTGGCACACACACTCATACATACACGGGCATGTGCATTTTGTCTCCCTGTGTAGAAACTCCTCTTTAATAGGGAAGCCAGCATACAGGAACGTTGACTGTTCTCTGGGCCACATTTTCCTTTTTCTTGCTCTAGCTTCCAATTTTTTCTTAAATGATGATAGATTACTTCTGTGGTTTTAAAAAACAAAGAAAAAAAAACCCAATATCAAATGGAGAAGAGTAGAGTTCGCCATTTCTGAGCCCGTGGTCCCACGCTGCTGGAGTCTGATGGCGACACTCTCTGTCTTCCAGGCTTTGGGAACCACCACTGCAGTGCCTGTCACCGGTCCTCAGGTCAGCTCCCTGCAGAGGTTGGCCGGGCAAGGAGCAGCAGTGCTACCTCAGGTAAATGTCTGTCTGTCCCGTGTCTGTCGCCAGCCCCCCAGCGCTGCCTCTGGGTTCCCCTTTAGGCGGTGCCTCCCTTTCTCTGTCCCCTCTGTCCGTTCAGTAGGGGAAACATTTGGTTCAGCATTTTCACAGTGAGGAGTCTGGTTTTTCAAACAGTGACAAACTGTGAAATCCTTGAGGAAGCCAGGACCAGGAATTTTGGTGAAGGAACTAAGTACAGCCAGCATCAACCAGAGTAGCCACTGCCAGGCATACTGGTTCTCAAAGCTTTTCCACATGTGGTCACATGTGGTGTGTAACTGATAATGAGTCTGTCAGAGGGTCTAAGGAGCACTATGGTAACACCTTTTATGTTAAATGGTCCAGGGTGTAGGCCCTGGGTACCAGCCGAGATCCCTAGATGGACTCCAGGACACTTAGCCCTTTCACCATCTTGGATGGAAGGCTTCTCCCTCAGAGGGCCTGATGGCTCTCTGCTGTGTCTGTTAGCCTTGGCGGTCACAGGGAGAACTTACGCCTGCACCCAGTACATAGCAGACCTGGGTGATACTGCTGAGTGCCTTTGCTGATGATGGCTCGGCTCTGGTGAGCACCTCGCTTGTGTCTCATACCTGCACCCAGGGTCACTGGCTGCAAAGATGAAGACAGTGGCTGGCTGTCTTGGGGCTATGGTGCTGGACAGATGCCCCTGGCTCAAGGATAAGAAGAAGCTCTTGTCCAGGAAGTAAAACACCCCTCAAGTTCTCACCCTTTCCAAAGTCCAAAGGACCTTACCCCTAAGAGAGTTCAAGTTTCCAGGATCTCTCAAGGGGGTGTGAAGGGCTGATGGGAGCTCTTGAGATGACCTGTCCCATGCTGAGGTCCACAGAGGGCTCCGGGATAGGGATATTGTAGATCAAAGTTGGGGTGAACCCCAGGAGAAAGGTGCAGAGTGAGAAACTAAGAGATCCTGAAACAGCCAGAGTTTTCCTCCCGAGGGGGAGGTGAGAGCAGGCAGAGATGGGGGTCCTTGCTTTAGATATCAGGCCACAGTAAGAAAGTGGCTCCAGGGGCTCCGCTGTTTCCTCTGGGGCTTCTGCTCCCCAGGCAGTCCTCCCTCCGTTCCCTACCTCCCAGCAGTCCACACTGTTCCCATCACCACTGAGGCAGACAGGCAACTGACGGTCATGTGGTCCCACGTGTTCACTCCCCACTCCCTCTGTGCGCCTGCCCAGTGCTCACAGCACCTGGGCTTCTTGTCTCTCATTCAGCCCTTACTGTCCCCTCCCCAAATCCTCTGTCCCTGCCTCGGGTTTGCTGACTGAGAGGCGCCTAGCATATACCTGGGCTCGTCCTGCTGGCCTAGGACATTTGTAGAGATAGAAGCAGATCCTGAGAAAGGCCAGCAGCAGGTTGAGGCTGCTCCATCGGGATCTGCTGGTCAGGGTCTCCATGTGCCTGTGGGGGATGTCACACATTCCAAGATTCCCAAGTATTTCTTTGGGGTGAACGACCTGTGTTTAGGCCTGGCTAAACTGTCCTCGGTGTCTAGCACCTGCCCCATGGTTACTCACCATGTTTGGTATGAGTTAGGGAATGTCATTTGGACAGTGTTACAGTGAAGGTGACCAGAAAGAAGCCAGGAGAGTGTCATCTCCCCAGCATCCCTAGGACATCATCTGGTCCCTCCTAAGAGGCAGAGAACGGCTCCATCCCCAGCCGCCACTGAGGGGTGGCAGGGAGGACTCGTCCCTCATTTCCTCATCATGTGGGTGGCACTGTGCCCAGTGTCTGGTCCTGATACTGGACAAAGACAAAACATCAGGCCTGCCTCAGTCAGGCTGGACACATTACCCAACTATGGCCCCTAAGATGGGGAGGGCCTCATTCAGTTTGCTCAGGGCCCACTAGAGCAAGAGCTAAAAAGGTCGTCAGAATCGAGGACCAGCTTGTGCCAGGCCGTGCAGGATCTCATAGCCATGATGTTTGCTGACCACAGCACACTGAGTCCTGGTGGCTTCCCAAGAGTCAGGGTCCAGGGGATCCTCCCCAGTGTCACTGGAGCAGAGCGAAGAAGAGTGGAAGGCCAGCACACGACCCAGCCGCCTGGCTCAGGTCCCTCTGCCCTAATGACAATGATATCGTTACCACCATTCTCCTCAGCTAAGCCTCTTCTGGCTTTGCCTCGGTCTCCCTCCATGGAATGGCCAGGACACTCCCCATGGCCTCAGTGGGGTTCAAATCATGTCCCTTCTTAAGCCTCATTTTTCTCAACTCACCTGGATTATCAGGGCATAGAGAGACGTCACTTGAGACGAGGTCAGGAGTCTGCAGCTCTTGACAAGTGGGTTCCATCACCCCCAGCACACAGGTGAAGACATTAAGTGTGTCTCCAAGACCACCCACACGCCCTGAGATCCAGGATTGGCCACACAAGCTGACTGGAGCCATTGCAGGTGATTGCCTGCAGCCCATGCCCCACCTCCATGTGTGTGGGCTCTTTGGAGTGATTGGTACCCAAGGCCCAAGGGCTACCAGCTACGTTTGTCAGGGAGCTGCAGGAGCCCTGTGGCTCACCTGGTCCTGCACAAGGGACATGATCCCAGCATCTGTGACACTGGGGGGCTTTGTGTGTTGACTTGGTGTCACGAAGATGCATTCCAGCTGGGCTCTGTCTTGGGCTCCCATCTCCTCCACCCCTCACAGTTTGCTCTCGTGTGCACCAGAAGGGACTGTTGCCTGGAGTAGCTTCATCTGAGTCCAGGGGTGGATGGGTGGGTGGGGATGATAACTCAATGTACAACCAAGCAAAGGAGATGGTGGACAGAGTAGCTTGAGCCTTGGGGTCAAGGTCATGGCTGCTGGGAGACTCAGAGCGGGATCACACAGGGTCCCTTCCCCTCTAATGTCGGACTCAGCTTGTCTGCTTGAAGCTTGCCCCGCTGCTGCCGCCGTGCCTTCATCAAAAGCTTGTGTCTCTGTCTGACCACACACTGGTCCCTTCCTCCCAGGTTAGGCCAAAGACTCTGATTCCAGACAGCCTCCCTGTCACCCCGGGCAGGGACCGGCCACCCAAGCAGCCCCCAACATTCCAAAAGGCCACTGTGGTCAGCATCAAGAACCCCAGCCCAGCCCTCCCCACTGCCAACAACACCGTCAACCATGTGCCAACACCCAGCAGCCAGGCCCTCACCGAGCCTACCGCCATCACCTCACCCCTGAGCAGTGCCGGGGTGGCCTATGCCATCATCTCCACCTCCCCCAGCAATGCTGCCACCATCACCCCCAGCACCACCGTGCCCGTGGCCAGCGACAGCATCAAAGTGCAGCCCCTCCTCATCAGTGCTGACAAAAAGGTGAGTGTATGGAGGGAGTATGAACCAGCGATCAGCAGGATGAAAAATGAGTGTGAATGGGACAGGAGGTGTGAGCAGATGAGAGTGATGGATCTCTCCATTGGATGGAGCATGAGTATATATATGGCCAAGGGTGCAGATCTGTTTCAGGCTCAAGAGAGGTGAAGGAATGTTAGCATGAGTGGTGCTATGAAAGAGTGATCAACTGAGTGACTCTGTAAATGTGTAAATGAGGGGGCAGGTGGATGGGTATGGGATAAATAAGTCCGGCCGAGAGAACTGCCATTCACTAATAGAGGAATAATGAACTCATAACGTGTGGCTGAATGGGTAGCTGCAAGAGAGTCTGGTGATGCTGTTCTATCTGATGGCAGAGTCAAGTGGTCAAGAGCTGTTTTATGCCCCAGTTGCCTGGATGGGGCAGGGCAAGGAACTCCTTGATATCTTGTGAGGAATTTAGTTTTAATGCTAAAACTAAAATCATCTTCCCATGTCCTCTAGAGCGCTCCCAAGATTGCCCTGTGTGAGGCCTTTGGGGAAACATGGTAGCTCCTGTTTTTCCTTTGGAAATCTTTTCCTTGGTTCCCTCTGCCTACTCTCTTGCCTGTAGCTGAGATGTCTTTCCATTTCCCCAGGCAACCCAAATCATCCAGTCCCTCTGCTTCCCAACAGATGTCTCAGGTAGGGAAGGCATCTAAATGCTCCCAGGCTGTCTACATTTGAGCTGAGAGTAAAGAGTTAGCGCCCCCTGGAGGCTGGCATTACCAGTGTGTTCTCTGAGGCTCAGAGAGGTAGAGTATTTTCTGAGGCCACATAGCCAGGAAGTGGTAAGATTTGCACCCAGGCCTGCTTGCTCTGTGACCCTGGCCATCTCTCATGGAGGTAGGGATGGGGGAGAATATTTGGAATCAAGGCCCTGGACACAGGGCAGCCACCTGGTTCTTTCCTCTGTGATACTTTTTAGGACCTACCTGACTCCTAGCTGCTCCCTGCGTCTCCATTACTGGACCCCTGCCCCTCTCATCCTTCCTGCGTCTTTCAGGTCATCATCCTTCAGCCTCAAGTGCAGGCGCAGCCCGAGAGTTCAGCAGAGCCCCGGCCACCCACGGAGGAGCCACCTCAGGGAGCTCAGGCCACCAAGGAAGATCAACCCCCCAGCCAGGAGAATCCCGAGGTAGTGTGGCCTGCTGGAGGGTCCTACCCCTTCTTGGCTTTAAGACCAGGCTCTTTGCAGGGTTGGGACAACTTCATTAGGAAGCTCTTGACTGGATGTAGCTGCCAGAGCAGGGCTCACCCAGTGAGCTGTGTCTGCACCCTCTGTTCTCTGGGCTGTGCACGCAGGGTAAGGCTATGGTCAGCAGGGATTCTACCACCTTCCTGCCTGGCTGAGTGTCAACAATGTCTAGTGATTCGTCGACACACAGGAGCAGTAAGGCCTGGGTTGCTGGAGGATTCTGAGTTGAGCTGCTGGATCAGGGACGTTATCCATCTTCCCTGCTGGCTGTGAGCCTTGTTCCTCTCAGGACTAAGCCCAGAAAGAGATGTTTGCCCACGATGGGCAGCATGCGGCCCCTGCCCCTGCTTCCTGTTTGTGTTCAACCCTAGAAGCTTGAGGGATACAGAACAAGACTAATAGCTCTGTAGAGTTCAGATGCCCTAAGAACTTTCCAGAAGTTGCACGTGGCACCTCCTCCCACTCCCTAGAGGAAGAGGGATAAATGGAACCGCTCCTGTCACCTGCAGTCGTAGAGCGGGGCAACAGCTGTCCAAGGATGTGGCTTCATCGGGTGTTTGTCCTGTTCTGGGGCTATACTCTCAGCCCCACATCACCGAGACCATCCTTGCTCTGCTGTGGTCTTCTCCACATGGCTCTTCTCATTCAGACTCTAATTTCATTGGTGAACCCTCATTCGTCCCACCAGAGTCCAGTCAGCATGATGCCCTAGGTCCCCAGGCTCCTCAGCTCCTGGTGATTGCAGTGACCTGTGGTCCCAACGACATCACTTGCTTTCTGAGCCTTTTGTCCCCCTTCAGTGTTCACACTTGGGTCTGCCCTCCCCCGTGCTCTGTGACGTGAGCAAGGAGCTCAGGCTGGGCAAATGTGGTCCTTGTCCTGGGAAGCTCCTTTCTGAGGGCAGAGACCAATGTGACTACAAAGGCTGTCAAACAGGGGCTAAGAAACTTCCAGTGAGCCGTGAGCCGCAGGAGAAAGGGCAGAGAGAGGCTACTTGAGGGGATTGAAGGGGGCTTTGCACAAAGAGGGACATGATGGACATAGGTCAAGAGAATGCTGGAAGCTAGAGGCAGAGGGACTGGCGGGGCAGGTAGAGGGTACTTTGTGGGCAGTAAAGGCTTGAGACTCCCAGATAGGTCAGCAGGGCTGCAGATAGCAGGTAACTTAAGGGTAGAGGGTCAGCCCTGGACAGACAGATGACAGAACCCGATTCCAGAAGACCAGGCAGCCAGGGTTGGGTTTTAATCCTTAAATGGGGGAGCCAGGGAGTATCTGGATAAAAGAGTGATTTGGTTATTGCCCTTGTTCATGTGCAGAAGGCCTTGAGGGGCCGAAGAGATAGCAAAGTTGGTAAAGAGCTTGCCTGTCATATACAAAGCCCTGGGGTTACTAAAAATCCACAGTACTGCATATACTGGACGTGGTGGTACCCACCTCTAATCCTAGCCCAGGGGTTGAGGCAGGAGGACTCATTCAAGGTCATCCCTGGCTACCTAGTGAGTTGGAGTCCAGCCTGGGCTACATGAGACCCAGTATACACACACACACACATACACACACGTGCACACGCACACACAGACCCCAAAAGAAGAAAGAAAGAAAGAAAGAAAGAAAGAAAGAAAGAAAGAAAGAAAGAAAGAAAGAAAGAAAGAGGAAGGAAGGAAGGAAGGAAGGAAGGAAGGAAGGAAGGAAGGAAGGAAGAGAAATCCTCCATTGGGTTGCCTGGAACATGAAGCTGCTATGTGGGCCACATCTCCTCAATGACCCCAGCCCCAAGGTCCTATTGGGTCCAGCCTGTGACAGTGTCTGAGCACCACGTATGTACATGGTAAGGCCCTGGCTAGCTTGTTGCCTGTAGCCCTCGCCTACTCCTGTCTCTGCTGCCTTGAGGTTTTCAGCATTCTCCATTTAGGAAGTTTCTCCTGGTGACATCTCCTTGTTCTCTCCGAGTGCATCTTAGTCAATTATTGCGCATTTTTACAATTAGTATAATTATATCTAACTGCGTAATTGGTGTAAATACTCATAACGGTTTAAACAGAACAGTCAAAACATGCCCTGGTATATAGAAGCCCTTGTTCAAGTTTGAGAGTTGGGCAGCATAGGCCTGCAGCAGGAGACCTTGTGCCAGTCAGGACACCGAGTGTCAGCCTCCAGGCACCTCGCTGAGTCAAGTGGGACCCCAGGCCATCGCAGGCCACGGGTTCTGGTTTCTGTATGGTCCTCAGGATAGAGCTGCACTCCACCCCTGAGCTGTCATACAACTCCAGATTTCTTTAGCTTCCTCTTTTGAAACTGGGTTTCACTAGATTGCCAAGGCTGAACGTGAATTCACTCTCTGGTGCCCAGGAAGGACTTCAACTTGCTTTATTACTGTCCTGGCCTCCCTGGTAGTAGGATTATAGGCCTGTGTCTTAGAACTAGGCATGGATATCAGTTTTTGTAAAGAACCTGAACAGCTGGTGATGAGGCCTGCAGAGCTGACAAGACTGCCAGGAAAGTGTTGAAATGGCCCAGAAGTTATATAGCAGCAGGAACTCTGGGTGGCCAGCAGCTCAGAACGATACCTGGACACTTTGAAAAGGTTGTGTTGGTGGCAGTTGTGAGGGGTGGGGGCACAGGATGGAGGGTACACACAGCCTATGCTCACTGTAGGAGGTGCCCCTGCATGGTTGGATGTGTCCTCACAGCAAGCAGCTTGTGTGCCCAAAACTGCAGCAAGCCTGCTGCATGTGCCCTGGTCAGAAGTAGTCTCTGGCAGAGCCAGGGCAGGGTGGTCTTTTCCAGCAAAGCCAGGTCATGCCCAGGCTACCCAGCCCTGCTGCCGGGAACCAGAGATGCCGCCCTCACTGTGGTCAGCTGAGTTGGGGCAGGGTGCACTTCTCCATAGAGCCAGGGCATGCCCAGGCTACCTGGTCCTGCACCTGGGAACCAGAGATGCCACCTTCATTATGGGCAGCTGTGTTGGGGCAGGGTGGGCTTCTCCAGCAGAGCCAGGGCATGCCCAGGCTACCTAGCCCTACTGCTGGGAACCAGAGATGCCACCCTTACTGTTGGCAGCTAAGTCAGGGCAGGGTGGGCTGCAGTCAAGTTTCTCAGGACAGTACTGCAGAGGCCAGCCACTCTGCCAGGGGGTTGCCTCTGACTTCCTCACCCGCAGGTCCTAAACTTTCTGAAAAAGAAAAAAAGTTGACAGGTGTGAGAAGCCCCTATTATTTAACTTTCAAGAGACTATAGGCCTGGTTCTTCTCCCTCATCAAAGTCCTTACACTTCCAAGACATTCCAAAGGCCAGTAGAGCTGGGTCTGGCCTGTCTTACTGGCCCCATTCCTCTGTGGCTTGAAGGGAGCTCCCAGCTCAGTCTGTATTCTCGGGTTCCATGTCCACAGATGCAAAAATATTAAAAGAGAGACGGAGCAGGGACAGAAGATTCTGGAAAGTTCAAAAGGCAGTGCTTGGATTTGCTGCACACCAAGCACAGCCCAGAATCCTGTCATTGAAGTATGGGCGTGTCCTGCCGGAATGCAGTTTCACAGATCCTCAGGCTCCCTCACTTCCTGTGTCCCCCGCCATGACTGTTGCACACAGACATCTCTGCTGTCAGTATTCCCTAGAGAGCACAGTGAAACAATGATTTATTTGTGGTTTCTGTCACATCAGGCATTACAGGCCACATAGAAGTGGTTTAAAGTATTCAGGAGGTGTGCGTGGGATTTGTGTAGACACTGTGCTGTTTTGTATAAGGGACTTAGCCCAGAGGATTCTGGCTTCCACTAGGGCCAGGATAGTGTGCACCCTGTGGGGTTCCATCTTCCACGCTATTGTCCTTCCTCCTTTCGGTCCCTCTTGTTTGCTCAGACGTCCATTTGCCAAACACACACACTGCAGAGCCCACTCTACAGACAGATGGTTTGGGAAATGGCACCCATCTGTCTGTCTGCTCTTCCTCTGCTTAAGGACCAGAGCCTCCTGCAGGCTGAGATCACCTCTCTCATTCCTCAAGGGTACCTGTCATCTTGCCAGCCCCATGCTATTTGTTTTTAAAGTGTATTTGAACGGGGCAGTAGTGGCACACACCTTTAATCCCAGCACTCAGGAGACAGAAGCAGGCGGATCTCTGAGTTCGAGGCCAGCATGGTCTACTAGAACTAGTTCCAGGAATGTAACAGAGATCCCCTGCCTCAAAAAACAACAACAACAACAAAAGCATATTTGAGGACTGTGTTATCCAACCCCATCACAGGCCCCTAGCCACTCCCTCCCTACACTGATGTTGGACAGTTTCTGGGTATCTGAGTTCCCCAACTTTCTGGGGCAGTGGCTGCATGACTGGGCATCCCCAGGGGATAGCCCTATGGCTCACAGACTATTTCTTGCCTGACTCGGATGAGAGCCAACAGCTGTGTTAACGCCTCTCTATCCCCTTTCTTTTCAGAAAATTGCCTTCATGGTAGCTCTAGGCCTGGTCACAACGGAACACCTGGAAGGTAATGATGGAGACAGTGGGTGGAGTTTGGTAGGTGGGACTTGGTGGGGCCCGAGATAGAAGCAGCAGCCTTTAGAGTAGTACCCCAGGTCATGGCTGTGCCCTATCCAGATTTGAGGCTCCTAGGAACCCAGCCCCAGGTAACGGAGGCACAATAACAAGGCAAGTCAGAGAAACATCTGGCTTTGCATATCCCATGACTGAACATGGCACTGTCACAACCTGACTCCACCCTGGAGGCTGCACAGTGAAGTAACGGGTCCTTGTCCAATCCTGCCATTCACTAACACATGAGAGCTCATGTTTCCTTATTTCTTTGGTGTTTGGTCCACTTTGGACCTGTCTCTTCATCTACAACATAAGGGAAACCATCTCCTTAAGCTTGTTGGGTTGGGGGGAATGAGGGAATGGCACTTTCCTAATATGCAACTGGCCTTCACTTTGAAAACCTCTCTCCATGATTCGGGATCTCACAGTATTTATTTGGATCCCGATCACTTCCACCAAGGCCCGTGGTGCCTCACAGGGAACACACAGAGAGACACTGACAGTGGTCAGGAGGAAGCTGACAGAGATGAGGAATGAGCACCCCGGGCAGCTACATGAGGAGGTAGAAAAAGCTGCAGCATGCAAGAGAGATGGGCGGGAAAGCAGGCAGGCCCCTGGGCACTGGGCACCACAAAGCTGTGCCTGATTGAGCAGAACCAGGACCTCGCTCTGCTGCTGCCATCCAGAGGTTCCGAGGTGGGGGGGCTGTCTTAGTCACTGTTCCACTGCTATGAAGAGACCCCATGACCAAGACAACTCATAAAAGGAAGCATTTAACTGGGGACTTGCTCACAGTTTCAAGCTCAGTCCATTATCATCATGGCAGGGAGCATGGCAGCGGGCGGATGTGGTTGGTGCTGGAGAAGTAGCTGAAAGGTACATCCTGATCCACAAGGAGGGAGGGAGGGAGGGAGGAAGAGAGAGAGAGAGAGAGAGAGAGAGAGAGAGAGAGAGAGAGAGAGAGAACGAAAACGAACCTGGGCTTGGCATAGGTTTTTAAGACTTCAAACCCATCCCCAGTGACACACTTTCTCCAACAAGGCCACACCTCCTAATCCTTCTAATTCTTTCAATGAGTTCCACTCCCTGGTGACTAAACATTCAAATATATGAGCCTCTGGGAGCTTATTTAAACTACCACAGGGCCTTATGCTGAGGAGTGTGTCCCTGTCCCCTCATCCCCTGCCTGGCACTCATCCTAAGTCCACCGGAGCCATGCTGTAAGCAGTTCCTGGAGGCTCTGACCTGCCCTGACCTACTGGGTGAGGAGACTGTGACTGCTCTGTCTGCCTTTCCAGAAATCCAGAGCAAGCGTCAGGAGCGGAAGAGGAGGAGCACGGCTAACCCCGCCTATAGCGGCTTCTTGGAGACCGAGGTGGGACTCTTGGGCACCACCGCTGGGGCTGGGAGAAAAGGTGTAGAGCCCCATGTGCCCCTCCCCCTTCTGCGATGAAAATTTGATGGGTCCAGATGAGTCTTTGGGACCTCGGCCAGCTTTCTTACTGTCTTCTTGCCCATCCTTCCTAACCAGAAGCATTCAGCCGAAGCAAGGCGTGTACTCTCACTGAGTGTTCACACCTGTAACATAGCAGCCAGGAAGCTGAGACAGGACTTTTAGCTCCAGGCCATCCTGGGTTACATAGTGAGACCATATCATGAAACAAATGCCGTCTGTTGGAGTCCTAGCAGAGGCCACTCTGAGGATCAAACACACCTGCTGGACCCAGGCTACTCACTGATGTGTCTGTCACATCACAGAGCCCACTGTGACTTGTCCTTCACCGGGGAGGCTCCTGTGGTATCTCTCTGCTCTGATGGACTGTGCCATCTCAGGCCTGTGGTGTCTCAACCCCTGGGTCTGGGCAGCCAGTGGGCAGCAAGCAGGGACCCAATCTCTGGTCCTCTAGAAGAACAGCAGGTGCTCCTAATGGCTGAGCTGTTCTTTAGCCCCCACTTCCTTTCTTTAGGATGTGGGTCCTACATCCATGTCTCATGAACTTGAGTTTAGCTGGGAAGGGGAGCCCTTGCAGGGAGCATGTTCAACTCCAATTCTGCAGTGCCCAATCCAGGGGAGAAAAGTGGCTTCCCAACCTCTGTCCACCATCTGTCCCTTGCCCTCCCCACTCCTGTCTTAGAAGGTGCTCACTCTTGAATACATCCCGCTCTCTTCTCCTGGGTCTAGTGAGCTAGCTGTGTCCCCCGGACATGGGGACATTTCACGCAGCCATCAATGGCAAAGGGTGTGGCTCAGCTGGTGGAGTGCTTGCTTAGTATCCATTAAGTTCTGAGTTCAAGTCCTGCCCCCTACAGCACTGCTAAAATCCTGCGTGGTGGCCTGTATTTGTAATCCCAGCACTTGGGAGGCAACAGGATTAGGAGTTCAAGGTCATTCTTGGTTACATGAAGAGTTCAAGGCTAGCCTGGAATGAATGAAACTGATTTAAAAATAAATGCAGGAAGGAAGAATCTTAAGTTGTCTTTAGCCTCCAACCAAGAACACATATTCTGACACCAAGACCCAGGCCTCAGCCCTGTGATTGTTAAGAAACTCTGGGCATAGAATCTATCCAGTGTGCACAACATCTGTGGCCAGAGCCGCGGGACCTCCTTAGCCACAGTCAGCCCAAAACCCTGTGACCCTTGAGCCTTAGACAAGCATGCAAACTAAGAGCAGGCCTTTGCCGGTCTCTTCCTTGCCCTTGAGTGCAGCTTGACTACATTGAGAAGGCTTCAAAACTGATTCTAGAACAATCTTTCTGCCATAGCCAGAACCACTTGGAACCACCAAGGTCAGGGTGGGAGTGAGGTCACTAAAACTAATGCTTCTACCTCTTTCCTGGGCCTCTGCAACTGCCAGGTTTGGGCCACATGCCAGGAGGTGAAATTGGGTGGGGAGGGGCAGTCCATACATCTCCTGGGTGTAGAACAGAGAAAGGTCAGGGGCAGGTGGAAGGGCGGTGCTGGCTTTGTCCCTAACCCATTGTGCTTGGAGATATTCCTGCCTAAGACAACTTGGGATGGAGATTCCTGGCCCTCAACAGAACCCAGCCTTTGTAGACTCCCTGCTCTGCCCCTGGGTCCTGGTATCTGTTCATCCCCCATGTCTTCTACATAGGGTGTCTGTCCGGTCTCCAGAGCCCCATGTCGGGCTGTCTCATAGGGTCCTGGGCAGGGCATCGTAGTGACATAAGATTGTGCGTGAACGATTCTTTGGCTCTGCTTTCTGTCCCCACAGAGGAAGCGGCTGGCCTCCAGCTATCTCCACAACCCCCTGTTCCTGACAACACGAGGTAAGTGCCAGCCAGAGCCACAGCTTCCACGGACCCACACCCCTCCCTGAGCCTCTCCACTGCTCTCTGGGCTTCATGTAACCTCTGCTCTTGGGGCTCCTGGGGAAGGAGGAAGGCCGCTGGAGTCGGCTCCATCTCATTAGATACAGACACTGTGATGGGGACATGCTGCCCTCCAGAGTTACAATGCTGCTGGGTGTCCAGCTCAGAGAACCAGGCTGAAGATCTCTGTGGTAGGGCTGTCCACCAAAGGGCTGAGCGTGCAGGCCACGAGGTGTATAGAGGGTGCCTCTGCTTCCCCGCCCCTTTGTCTACAGCCCCATGCTGCCAGTTAGCCATGGTACCTGCCATTAAACAGCTCTGGAGAGAGCAGGCGCTCATCTCCCCGCTGGACTGGGCCTCATCCCAACCCTGCCCTCCCTCCTGGACTGACTCTGGGCAGTTGGATGATCTCAGCTAATCTAGGAGTACTGGGTGCTGGGCCCAGTTCTGACAGGCAGGGATATACATCCCAACTTTCAGTAGGGTCCTTTCTCCTGTACCAACCATCTTCCACAGCTGGGAGCTACTGTCCCTCTCAGCATGGTACTCAGGAAACTGAGGCAGGAGGATTGCTGTCAGTTTCAGGCCAGCCTGACCTAAAGAAAGACTTTGTCTCAGAAGAAAAGAAAGAACTAGCAGTAGCTTTGGAGGGCAGGAAATGCCTCCTTGCGTCTTGGGATTCTGCGTAGCTCTTGGCATCTGCCACTCCTTAGTTGCTGGACCATTGATCTACACAGTGGGCCTGTAATAATGCCTGCTCTAGTTGGTGGACAGTTCCCCCCAGGAACAGCATCGTCACAGATGGTTTGTCTAGGAACCTGGAAGGAAAACCCTGCTTGAGTTTCCTACTGCATGTGGTTTGAGATCACGGCCTAAAATACCAAGGGTTTGCAGCCAGAAGGAGCTGGAAGCAGGTTACTCCAAGGGGTCCTCTGAATTCTGGTTTTTGTCTCTGAGGCACCTCCCTGTGCCAGCCATGATGCTCATGAGTTCAGATGCTGTGAGCCTGTTCCCACGTAGGTCCTGGTCAGAACCAAGGCAGAGAGTCTTCCCTCATCACATGGTTCTGAGAACTCTGGTGTCACTGGGCCTTGTGATATTCCCATCATGCTCTAGGGCAAGGACTCTGCCACACCAAGCCAGTGGGACCCCAGCCATGACCCATGCTTCTCCCACCCCCACTAACATCTTCTCCACCCTTCCTCCCTGTGCTAGCCAATGAGGACCCCTGCTGGAAGGTACGTGACCCCCATCTTCATATGAAGGGGTGTGGGACATCTCTCATTGCTTTTATCTTGGTACCCAGAGCTTTCACAACACCAGGCCTTCTTTCCTCATGCCCTCATGCCAGGCTGAGCCCTACATTACTGCAGGGAATTCCCCCCTGCCTGGTCCTGAGGGTGTTCACATTGTACCACCTGACCCTGGGTCTGCCTGGCTTTTCTGTGTGACCCTCGGCAGGGGGGAACTGGCCATCTTTAGTTCTCTGTTGCCCGTCCAATGGTCTGGTTCCCAGGGTGTTATCCTATGTGCCCATTGTGATCCTGTGACTCCTCCCACCCACAAAGTCTGCATCCCTGTTCCCTGAGCTGGTCGGGACCTGGATCCTGAGCATAACCTCTCACTGACCTATTCCTTTTCATTTACTTGATTTATGGGGTGTGTGTGTGTATGTGTGTGCACACACGTGTACCATTGTACAAGGGTAGAGGTCAGAGGGCAGCTTGTGGGCTCCGTTTTCTTCTTCTATCACGTAAGCCATAAGGATGGATCTCAACCTCAGCATCAGGTGCTTCTGCGCTCTGAACTCTCTCCACAGCACTTCCCCAGTTTCTAATCTAATTCTGAATGAACCTTGTCCCACATGCTCGCACACGCAAGAGACTGCTTACAGCCTGCTCTGGGTGGCTACAGTGCTTTCCAAGGCCCCCTGCAGTAGTAAACACAGGTGCCCAGACCACACAGACAAGGGGACGCATGAGGTGGTGGAAGACTCCCCCTTTTCCATAAGTTCCTAGTCCCGGAGGGGCCTTGGCTTCAAGGCAGGAGGCATGGACTGTGGTCCTGGCTCCACTCCCATCCCCACTCCCTGTGTGACCCCAGGCCAATGCTTCACCCTTCCTGAGTCTTTGCGCTAGATGTGGGATACAAATGAGAGACTTGGAGTCCTCCTTTGGGGACACCTCTGGTGTCGAATCTCTTGTGACAGGGGCCATCCGTTCCCACTACTTCAGTGCTGGAGCCGGAAACTTGATAGTCTTACAGACCAGGGCCATTGTCGGTGGCTGGACGGGTGTAGGTCATCGGTGGAGCTCCCCTTGGCGCAACCAGCTGGTGGGCTGGGGAGCACGGTCCCTAGAGCTTATCCTGAGGCCTCTGGGAGGGACAGAAGGGTTCTATCCTGTACTGCACTGCAGGACATCAGGCATGGGTGGGGTGCACTTTGTGTTCTCTGTCCTGTCCTGCCCAGCACCCAAGGGACAGCTGTTCTTATCCCCGTCATGGATATGGAAACAGGTGTGTGACCCACCCAGCTGGCAGGGGTTCTTACTAGATGGGTGTGCAGTTGAGGGACTAAAGGTGTAGCCTGTGTCAGGCTACAGTTCCCGCCCTGAGGCAGTGTATACTTGAGGAGGAGTCATCGCTGCAGGGCCCTGCTGCATGGGAGGCTTGGTGCTGGGGTCTACTGTGTGACTCTCCAGTGCTCAGTGCCCTGGTCAGGGTATGAGTGCCCTGGAACCCTACCCATGGGGCACATATCTGACACTCTCACCCTGAAGGGGAATCTCTCCCTCCCACTCTCTCAAGCTGCCGGGGCCTGACTGAAGCGCTTCCTGCCCTCCTTTCTCTTGCAGAATGAAATCACCCACGATGAATTCTGTGGTGCCTGCAAGCGAGGAGCCAACCTACAGCCCTGTGGCACCTGTTCAGGGGCCTACCACCTCAGCTGCCTGGACCCGCCTCTTAAGACGGCACCCAAGGGCGTATGGGTCTGCCCCAAGTGCCAGCGGAAGGTGCGGGCAGAAGGGCTCATACCTTGCCCCTGCACATTTGAGACAGTGTTCTGGGTGATCCCTAGGATGGGTGTAGCAGGAGAGTGACGAGGGGGTCTTGAGCACCCATCCCTGGCTTCTACAAAGGAGAGAAACCTAGAAGGAAGTCTCTCATTGAGTGGCCCCAGTGGACCAAGCTGATATAACTCCTATCCCCTGCTCACAGTTGGGAATCTGGCTCAGAGAGCATGCCTCCCAGGGGTGCATAGCCAGGATCTGGTCTCAGAAAGTTCTGGGGCTTGTATTCTTTCTCATCATCCCATCTGCCCCACAGGCCTTAAAGAAAGACGAGGGTGTGCCCTGGACCGGGATGCTGGCCATCGTGCACTCCTACGTCACCCACAAGACAGGTAAGGGTCCCTAGGAGTGGGAAAGGGCCCCTGGGTTCATATGGGACCTCGGGGGATGCTGGGCATGTCCAGGTTCTTCTGGGCCAGAGCTCTGAGAAAGAGGTGGCTGGGGCTGGTCCCTAGCAGGACATTCAGATCCAGCCACTCACCCGCCCCTCCGTGGGGCTGGCCTCTCTCTCTCCCCCAGTGAAAGAGGAAGAGAAGCAGAAACTGCTGCAGCGTGGCAGCGAGCTACAGACTGAGCACCAGCAGCTGGAGGAGCGGGACCGGCAGCTGGCCTCAGCGGTGAAGGTGAGCGCAAGTGGAGTGGGTCCCTCGTCACCCGCTCGTCGAACCCACAGGCCCACAGGTTCAGGGTGCAGCTCTGATGTGGACCATGGTAGCTTACCAAGCTTTCGGGGACATTCTGGACCTCCCTCCTCTCAGCTGTGACCTTAGCAAGGCCCTGCCTTTTTGAACCTCAACTTCCTCCTCTATAAAGAGAACATCATCCTATGTAGATTGATGATAGACAAAGGATGAAGATGATGATGGAGGAGGTGGTGCGTGGTGAGGATGGGGTGGTGATAGTGGGCTGATGGTGGGTGGAAATGGTAGTGATGATGATTGTGGTAGTGATGCTGATTGTGGTAGTGATGGTGATGATGGTGTTTTGGTGGTGGCGATAGTGGTGTTGATGGTGGGTGGAAATGGTGGTGGTGGTGATGATGGTTGTGGTGCCAATAGTGATGATTATGGTGATGATGGAAATGGCAAATGATGCTGGCAGTTGTAGTGACGGTAGTCCTAATAGCAGTTCTGGGCCTTGGAGAAGGTTGGCTTTTCTGTTTTATTTGATTTATTTATTTTTATGGTGGCAGGGGATTGGGCATAGTGTCTCACGCATGTTATATGAACATTTTATATCCCAGGCATGGAGGATATGGTCTCATGCATGTTACACAAACACTTTATATCCCAGGCATGGAGGATGGGAGGGAAAGAAGGAGGCTAGAGGTGTGAATGCATGTACACATACTTGTGTGCACACATGTTGAGGCCAGAGAAGACTGTCAGATGTTTCCTCTGTTACTCTCCACTTATTCCCTACATAGGGGCTTTATCACCAAACCTGACTCCGGCCATTTTGGCTTGGCTGTTGAGCTTTTGAGTTCCCAGGATCCTCCTGTCTCTAACTCCCAACCTTGGGGTTACAGCCACATATGGTCATGAGTGACTTGTATGTGTGGCTGCTGGGGAGTCCACCTCAGCGGCTCACATCACAGAACAAACACTCTTACCCACTGAGCCATCTCCCCCGCTCTCCCTGCATTGCCTGGTGTTTTCCTTAGCAATTTGAGACAAGGTCTTAGTAAGTTTCCCAGGCAGGCCTTGAACTCACTGTCTTTCACCTTCATCTGGGATCTCAGGCTGGAGAAACTCTCTAAATGCAGTACCTCGATATCAGGCTTCTAGAGATCAGAGCTGATAGCATTAATCTATGAAGACACGTAAAGGGGCTTGGCTAGAATGGCTTACAGACTGTGGCCTAGCTAACCCAACAATGGCTGTCTACCCACAGGTCCAAGAATCCAGGAACTGTTCAGTCCATGAGGCTGGATTGTCTTAGCTTGTCTTCAATATGTGCCAGAATCCCAAAGTAGTCTCTAAAGCCAGTGAAGGAATGGACTTGTCAGTAAGAGCAAACAGGCAGAGAGCAAGCTTCCTGCTTCCATGCCCTCTATATAGAGGCTACCAGCAAAAAGTGTGGCCCAGGTTAGAGGTGGATCTTCCCACCTCAAAGATCAGGATTCGAGAGAAATCCTGTCTCAAAATCAAAACAAAACAAAACAAAAAGAGCAAGATTTCAAGTGGGGTCTTCCCACTTCAAATGATTAAATTAAGAAAAAAATCCTTCACAGGTATACTCTCGGCCATTTGGGTTATAGATAACTCCAGATGTAGCCAAGTTGACGATCAAGAATCGCCATTACAAGTCCACCCCTCATCAGCTTGACACACAATTTGTCTCCTTATGTCCTGCCTAATCTCCAAATGAAAACACTAACTAGAACTTAATTACACACAACATGATATTACTATCCCGTGCATAATGACAGATGCATTATATATTCAACCGGGTCATAATTATGCCTAACGTGACATAACTGTCCATCATACAACCACAAATCCATAGAACAGGTGTTACTGTCCCTTGAAGGATGCTCTTTTGGTATCTCAACTTACGTATGATAACCACTGATATTCTCTTAATTGATGTTACTTGATAAAGAAATTTTCATATTCTTATCACAAGCATGATATTACATGGTAAAGAAATCAAGGAAAGAAAACACAAATATCTGTACAAACAAATACATTCTTAACGAAATATGACAGAAACACTCATGTCAACTACAATTCTCATTTCTGCAGCTGGTGACGTGGCCTTAGCTGGGGTAACCACCTTCCTCTACTACCCATTTTGTATGTCCTCCACCCTCAGCAAGCACTCTAGCAGGTTCTCGGCTCTTTTCCTGGAGGAATGACCAGTGCCTTCATTCCTGAAGGGTCTGTGCCCTTTGTCCTCCTGCTTGGATTAGATTGTTGTAGCCTTCCATTGATTTAATCACAGGACTTGGAAGCACCAAGAGACACCCTAAAGGATCTCCTGTTCTCCAGACATGATCCTTCTTACCTCCATTGTGGAGAAGCAATCCGATTTCCCATGCTAGTCTAGATCAATCACCTCTCCCTGTTGGCTTAAGGGCATCAGAAGCCCAAGTGGCTGGAGGTTGCTGGGGAGATCTGAGCTTCCAGTTCAGTGGAATGTTTGTTGTGGCTCCTGACAGAAGTGTTCCCCACTCTGGAACCAAAACTTCTAGGCCAGCAGAGGGTGTGGCCCAGAATAAAGGTGGATCTTCTCACCGCGAAGATCCGGATTAGAAGTGTGTCTTCCTACTTTCAACGATTTGATGAAGAAGAAAAATTCCTCACAAATGTTCCCATTTGTTTGAGTTTTAGATAAATCCATATGTGATCAAATTGACAACTAAGAATCGCTATCCTAAACCCCATAAAATCCCTGATTATCCATGTGGTGTGAGGGGTGCCCCACGGAGGTCAATATTGCACTGGCACCATTTGACCTAGAACCGTGGTCATATGGCTCTAGGCCTCAGTTCCACCGCAGTGTTGTCTCTGTGTGGCACACACAGAAGCTGGCAAGTCTATGGGCTTCACTGGCTGCCGCTGGCCCGGATGGACCATCAGCTTCAGGGGCAGACATTCCTGGAGCCAACATGACACTCTAATCCTTTACTTAACCCCATTTTGTGTGAGGCCCTTGGCCTGTTTCAGGTTCTGCTGGGGGTTGGGAGGCTGTGGGAGAAGGTGGGCCCATCAGTGTGGCTGGCCCAAGATGCTGCAGAATTCAATTCTGAGGTCATCTCCAACACTTCTGATCTTGACAGAAATGCCTGGAACTGAAGACAAGTCTCCTGGCCCGCCAAAGGGGCACACAGTCATCGCTGGACCGCATCCGGGCCCTGCTGAGACTGATCCAGGGTGAGCAGGTGCTCCAGGTCACTATGGCAACCACCAGCCCCACCCCACTTCTGGTGGGGCCCTGGACCAAGCCTTCCACTACCACTATGCGCACTGCCCTCCAGCACCCCCAGAGCCACAACTGACCCCAGGGACCTGAATTACAACTCATGGAAAGTTACTGGGACCTTGCTCTCAAGACCTGGGGGATCTGTCGGCCTTAATTCATAGACTCTATGAATTTTAGACAAAAATAAACTAGACAGAGTGACGGAGAGAAAAAGGAGTGAGCTGGGCATCCTAGAGCCAGCATGAGGTAGATCCCTGTACCAGTTGCTGGGTCCACCTGAGGGTGTCTCAGACCAAGGCACAGGCAGCCCTCACCCCGAGCTGTCATGGCCAGCTCTCTCATTGCGTTGTCCCCCTCAGGGGAGGAAGACTTTAGCCTGTGGAGAGGCAAGGGACAACAGATAGCTGGTTAGTGGGGGTGGCAGGGTGAGCCTCTGGTATGAGAGAGGATAGCTAACCTAGGTAGTTCTTCAGTGGCCCTGGGGCTCCCTGTGACCCACTGGCCCCTAATCCATCAGTATTACTATGTTGAAACTCAGTCATTTAACTAGACAAATGACAGGCCAGCTTCTCCTGGGGTCACTGCTGCATGGGCTGCCAAACCTGGCCTCTGCCTCATTCTTCCCTGGCTCACGCCCTTGCTGCAGCCCACTTCTTCCTATTGCCAATCTCTGGAATGTTCCTTCTGGAGTTCTGGGTTAGACAGAGCAGTCACCCACCACGGGAGGCCTGTGGCAGGTTTCCCCTCATAATGGAAGCCTTTAGCGCACTCTCCATGGTAGGAGCTGCCAAGCATCCTGCCCACTTCTTGCCAGCTAAAGACACTATGCCAAAAAGAGCTTCACACTTCTTGTATAGCGTTTTCTGTTGTACGATCCGTAATGTGAACTTGCACCCCGCCTGCCTTCCTCTGCACCTGGTAGCCTCTGCTCCAGTACAGGAATGAAGTAACCTCCTCCCCTGAGAGGGGCCGGATGGAGCGCCCAGAAGGGATCTAGAGATCCAGGAGGAGGCAGAGAGGGTGGTGCATTTTGGGGGCCTGACCTTTGGAGACTCCAGAGCCCTCCTCCTCAATGCTGTCTCCTCATTTGCAGGGAGTGCAGGTCCCTAAGCACCCTGGGGGTTCCTGCACCTCTGTGAGCCATGCAGCCCACTTTGCAAGCCCCACCCTGTCCTGAGGGACACAGCACAACCCATACACGATCAGGAGCCCCAGGGCTCCCCCGAGCATATCACATGGTGCCGAATTGTGGCGGGCACTCGTGCCCGCACCAGGGCCACGGCTGCACACCTGTGCCCGCAGACACACGTGCAGAGTGGGAAGGCTGGCTGCGACCCCACCGCCAGCTACTGTCCCTCCTGTCATTTTTCACGACTCCGGGAGAAACTGTGCTGTAGGATACAAATCTATTTTAATACACGTTACACTGGGTTGAACAAGATTTTTATATTCTTTTATCGATGAACGGCGTGCGCCGCGCGAGGTGCACGCCTATATATTGGTTACGAGGTGCCGATGACGCATTACCGCGTGGCTGGTGACCGTAACTGTCTTCAGGTTCTTCTTTCTTTGGTTTGATTTGCTTCTTGGATGCATTGAGTTCGATTTTGTAAGAAACGTGGGAGGATGTGGAAGTTGGACCCGGGATGGGGAGCTGCTGACGTGTCTTGAGACTTAGTTTTTTTGGGGAGGGTACCAAGGAGGATAGTGGCTAGAGAAAGTGTTTGTCTTAAATATACCAGTGTAGTTTTTCCTTCTATATGATGCATTAAACCCAATTTCAAAGCCTGATGGTCCTGTGTCCTTGCTTTCAGTGTGAGACTCTGGGGAACCCTAGAAACAACTAAATGGATTTCAAAAACAGCTAAGAGTTACGTTTGTCCCCCTACACCAAAGGAAATCTGAGAGGCGGCAGATTGTGAAGATCACCAAAACTAGCTTGGCTGGTCTCTGCAGAGTGCCTGGGGCCTCACTCACTCAGGCTTCTCACCTTGTCCTCTCCACCACTCATTTTGCCTCCTGGACATGAGCCCACTGCTACCCCAGTGTTTTCTTTGAGAGCAGGCTCCTGGAAAGGCAGACCGCCAGCATGAGCTCCAGACCCTTCCAAGGGGCTTGAATCAGCCTGGAGATCAGGGCTCACCTGTGCACCTGCCGCTGATCTCTTGGATGCTGCGTGTGGAGCTGGGAATAGAAACATACATGCATGCGTGCACCCCTACATACACACACACACATATGCACGCTCATGCACTGTAAGGCTAGACAGACCATCAAACGTGTTCACTGTAGCCATGGCCTAGTGTGCTTGCTCGGCGGGGAGCACACAGTTTGAGGGGGGTCCAGAACTCTGCCTGCCCTGTCTACATACTCCCCACCCTTCTGCCTCCTGAGCAATCTTCACACCCTTCTTCCTGGTCCCCAGATCTCTCCTGTTCTCTAGCCCACCCTCTTCCCCATCCCAATGCTCCCCTAGGACAATCTTCAGTCAGTGACTTTGGAACAGATCCAGTGGGTGCCCTGCTCACACAGCCCACGGGACTTACTAATGACGGTCCACGTTGAAGCAGCCCACGTGGCTCTCGAGTGACTCCAGTGTCTACTCTAGGCTGCTCCCGCCTACCTGGCCCCCCTATGCTGGAGACCCCCCCCATCTACATCAGCCTCTGCTTTCTGCAGAACTCCTTGGACAGCTGTCCCCTCAGTTCCTGTGTCTACATAGGAAGCCACCCCGGACTGACGTCACTAGAGGACATCTCAGCTTCAGCATAGGCTCCTTCCCCAGCAGTGCACCAGGAGTCACCCCTGATCCCGTGACTTCCACACCCATCTCTGGTAAATCCGCCAGCTGTGTCATGGAGACGAGAGGAATGGGACCTATCTCCTGGTTTGTTTGGTGCTGTGACAAAACCTGTGGTATTGTAAATGCTGGTCAAGCACTCTACCAACTGAGCTATAGCCCCAACCGTCATGTGTGAATTAAAAATATTTATCGCTGGGCCCTTTAATTCCAGTGTGCAGGAGGCACAAGTGGATGGAACTGTCCGTTTGAGGCCAGCCTGGTCTACCTAGTGTGTTCCAGGCCGACCAGAGCTGTATAATGACACTCTTGTCCAAGAATTAAAAATAAATAAATATATATAACCCAAATCCTGCCTGCCAACTCTCTCCTCCTCCCTGCCTTGGCTATCTAACTGATAGTAACCAGGGACCATCTCTGACCAACATTACCTCTTGCCTATTGTAACAATTGTCTAACAGTTTTCCACCTCACCACAAAATCAAATGGTATCCGCAAGCTGCTTCTACCTCCCTCCTCTTCTTCCTTCCTTCCTTCCTTCCTTCCTTCCTTCCTTCCTTCCTTCCTTCCTTCCTTCCTTCCTTCCTCCTTTCCTTGCTTTCTGTCTGTCTGCCTGTCTTTCTATCTGTTTTGGTTTGGGGGAAAAGACTCTCACTATGTAGCTCTGGCTATGAGGTCCACCAACCTCTGCCTCCCTAGTGCTGTGATGCAAGGTGTGTGCCACCACCTCCTGCGGACCTCCCTCCTCATCTTTGTAGCTCTCACTTCTCTTGCCTCCTACAGCAGTTGGGTGTCTAATCCAACATGGAAAGAAAGAGGTGAGACTCAGCATCTTTTGCTTTGTTTCTCATTTAAGTGATAATATTCCCATAACTTCACCATTAGTGTTGTGGTAGTCAGGGTTCTCTAGAGGAATGGAATGCTCAGAACGGATGCATATTTAAAGGGGTTTTATTACATTAGCTTACACAGTACAGGCTGGGTAGTCACACAATGGCTGTCTCACACGGGACAGGTTGGGAACTGCCAGCAGTCTCAGTTCAGGGCCAAAGGCCTGGAGGATTCCCAGGGAGACACTGGTGTTCAATCTGGGCTGGAAGGCTGATGAAGCTGGCTTCAGCTATCAGTAGAGGACAACATCAGCCCTCACCAACAAGAGGCCAAGACAGGCAAGAAACAAATGCCTTTCCCTTGGACATCCTTGCATCTGAGCCCCAGCCACTGGAAGGTCTTTCCCCATCCATTAATGTAAGAAATCCCTCACAGGCATGCCCAGCAGATTCTAGATCACATCAAGTTGATAATATTATGATAGATGGGAAGTCTCTGCTAGTCTCAGTTTCCTTTGAGTTTTGTGTGTGTGCGCGCATGCGTGTGTTCAGGATACATGTCGAGGCCAGAAGAAAGTGTCAGATTCGATGGCTGGAGTTATACGTAGTTATGAGCTGCCCAAACTCCCATCTTCTGCAAGGGCCTCAAGCCCTCTCGCCAGCCCGAAGGTTTTTTTTGTTTGTTTGTTTTAAAATTGTGGTTGTTTTTAAATTTTTTTCCAAATGTATATACCATGACTTTAAAACCATGTGAGTATCTCCTGATTCAGTAAATGTGATTATTTACATCAATTTTCAAGCACTAAACCGAGTTTAAACTCTTGGAATAAACCCTCCACGCTCATGGCTCAGCACCCCTTCCATGCTGCTCCATTTGACTTGCTGATAGGCAGTGTTCTGTACCGATACTTCTGTGGGACGTTAAATTTCTGCTAGTCTTTTTGATGCCTCAGACACCTTTATACTAAATAAGTCAGAAACACGTCCGCTTGTTTCCCGGAAGTCTTTTCTGTTTGGCTGCACTAGCGAAGCCTAGCGAAGCCGCCTGGAGCTAGAGCAGGAAGGTGGTACATTTCCACTTAACGGTTCAGTATGTTTCATACACGGGGCTGTTGGGATATTCTCTCCTGCTGTCAGTTTCAATCCGTTGAGTTATTCAAGGAATTATCACTTAGGCTGATGCTGGCATAAAATTGTTCTCGACATTTTGATGATCATTTTTCTCTCTGCACGCTCTAAAGTGATAAGCACATTTTCTTTCTTAATTTGTGCTTCCTCTCAGCTTGATTTGTTGTCTACCAAGGGGTTCATGAATGCATGTATTTATGCGAAGAACTGACTTTTGGGTTTGTTTATATTCTCTATCGTCTGTTATTGATTTATTGATTTTGTTTGCTTCGGGTATTGAGGATAGAACCCAAGTCAAGGCAAGGGCTCTGGTGCCGAGCTGCACCCCAGCCCCAATTTCTTTTTTCTTTTTCCTTATAGGGTTGAGACAAGTTCTCATTATATAGCCCATGCTGACCCAGAACTCACAATCCTCCTGCCTCAGCCTGCTGAGGACTAAAATTACAAGTGTGTGCCACCATTATCCAGCTTTTGCTGGTTACTTCTTTCTATTGGTCAACTTGACATCAGCTGGAGTCGTCTGAAAAAGGGAACCTGGGTTGAGAAAACGCCTCCATCAGATTGTTTGCAGGAAGTCTGTGGGGCATTTGCTTGACTAATGACTGGTGTGGGAGGGCTCAGGCTCCCCTTGGGTGGCCGCAGCTGCTCCTGAGTTCTACCAGAAAGCAAACTGAAGGAGCCATGACAAACAAGTCAGTAAGCAGTGCTGTTCTCTGGTCTCTGCTTCGGTTCCTGCCGCCACGTCCATGTCTTTGGACTTCCCTCGATGATCAACTGTGACTGGGATGTGTAAGCCGAATAAACCCTTTCTTCCTCAAGGTGTTTTCTAGTCATGGGGGTTTATCAGAGCAATAGAAAGCAAACCAATGGCCAGGTGTGGTGGCTCGCACCTTTAATCCTAATATTGGAAGGCAGGGGCAGGCAGATCTCTGAGTCTGAGGCCAGTCTGGTCTGCATAGTGAGTTCCAGGACAGCCAAGATTACTTGTAGTAAGACTCTATGTCAAAAGAAAAATGAAAGAAAGAAAAGAAAGGGGGAAAAAAAGGAAAGAAGGACGAGAGAGAGAGAGAGAGAGAGAGAGAGAGAGAGAGAGAGAGAGAGGAGAGGGAGAGAGAGAGAGAGGGAGAGAAAGAGAATATCTGTTACTTTTTATTTCCTTCCCTTGTCTCTTACGGTGCAGCACCAGCCACTGTTTTTAGATCATTTCTTTTGTTTTTTTTTTTCTTACAAGCTTTATCTCTCCCTCGAGATCCTACTTTAATGCTTCATGAATGTTGATATGTTGTGACATTAGCATGTCTTTAGATTATTTTCAGTGCGAATTCAAATTATTTTCTTGGGAGCTGGGGGATGGCTCAGTCAGCAAAGTATAAGCCTCAGAACTTGAACCCCAGAACACAAGCAAAAAAAAAAAAAAAAAAAAAAAAAAAGCCTTGTGGCACTTGCTTGTAATCCCATTAACAAGAAGGCAAACAGGCAGAACTCGGCCAACCAGTGCAGCCTAATGGTACGGCTGGAGAAATGGCTCAGCAGCTGAGAGCACTTGCTTACTCCTCTTGCAGAGGATCCACATTCGGTTCCCAGCACCCATGCCCGGTGCTTCACAGAGCAACTGCCTGAAACTTCATCTCTAGGTCATCCAACACCCTTCCAGGCCTCTTCAGACACACACACTCAGGCCCACACCCTGACACAGATCACGTGTGTACACATAATTCACAGCAAAAGATTTAAAACAACAACAGACAAACAAAAACCATGGGACTGGAGAGGTGGCTCACAGTTAAAAGCACTGGCTGCTCTTGCAAATGGACCCAGGGTCAGTTCCCAGTTCCTATGTGGTGTCTCACAACCATCTCTAACTCCAGGGGATCTGATGCCCTCTACTGGCTGTCATGGTCGCTGCATGCACATTATATACAGACATGCCTGTCACAAAACTCTCATACATGTAAAATAAAAAGATAAAATCATCCAGGCTTGGTGGCACATTGCCTTTAGTCCTAGTACTCAGGATCTCTGTGAGTTTGAGGCCATCCTGATCTACATAACAAGTTCCAGGCCAGCCAAAACAAAAAAAAAAAAATGGGTGAACCTGAGAAATAACACCCAAGGTTGTCCTCCGACCTCCACATACACAGGGCACACTGAACCCCTCATGCATGCATGTATTAGAAATTAATTTCTTGCCTACATTCTGACTTCTTCTTTAACACACTGACTTTTGTATTTCTTCTTTTTAAAAATATGTTTATATACTTGAATTTTCCCCCTCTAGATGCATTGAATTTTCAAGATTAATTTTATTCCATTGTGCTCTTCATTTGATTTTAGTTCCTTTAATTTACCAAGCCTTGTCTTAGGACCCTGACTCTGGTCTACATTGGTAGCCACACCCCCTCAGTTGTTGAGTATGATGTTCTGTAAACACTGCATAGATCCAGGTGTTCGGCTTGCTTGTGTCTTCACGCATTGTGACCCCCTCCTATCCCATCCCTTTCTCCCTCCATCCCAAACACTGAGGGGTATAACCCATAGCCACTGAGGGGTGGGACACATGCTAGGCAAGCACTCTACCACCAAGCCCCATTCTCTGCATCCGTCATTCAGGTTTTTTTCTGTTTAGTGTGTGTGTGCACATATGTGTGTGTATGTGTGTGTGTATATGTGTGCACGTGTGTGGGCACACTCATGCCATGGTGCACATGTGAAAAGGCAGTTCTTTCCTTCCACCATGTTCCAGGAAGTAGACTCCAGTCACCAGGCTTGTATACAGGTAAGCACCTTTACCCACTGAGCCATCCCACGGCATCCAACATTCAGTCTTTTTTAAAATTTGTTTTTATTTTATGTGCATTAGTGTTTTGCTCGCATGTATGTCTGTGTGAGCGTGTCAGAACCCCTGCAACGGGAGTTACGGACAGTTGTGAGATACCATGTAGGTGCTGGGAATTGAACCGGGATCCTCTGGAAGAGCAGCCAGTACTCTTAACCACTGAGCCATCTCTCCAGCCCCCCATCTGTTTTCAATAACTGCTTCAGCTTGTATATCATTCAACGTGTGTCAAATCATTCGGTGATGAGCAATTGTTGGCTTGCAGAGACTTCCTGCTAGTTTTTGGGTCACAGAGGTGTGACAAGCACAGATGGTCATCAGGAGAAACTCAGATCCAAATCGACACATCCATCAGTTCTAGTCATGTTGGCTGTAGGACACTCTGCAGTCCCCGCACCTCGACTTACTGCTCTTCCTGCTGATGAAGGACAGGCTGGCTGCACCGCCCTGCAGCAATGCTCTGGTCCCCCTCCCGGGTCATTCCTAGACACACAGTCTGATTTCCCCAGCTCACTGAGTTGCTCTCCCAGCGTCTGCATCAGTCTGTGCCTCAGCCATCCATGAGTGACTTCTCTTTTCTGACTTCCATTTTCCCTCCCTGACATTTCCTGCCATGGCGAACCCTGGTGCATGTGGGTCTGGCTGGTGCCTGTGGTTCACTGTGAATGTCAGCTACAAGTTCTGGGCAGCCTGCTGAACCTCTGGAGTCATTGGCAATCTCTGTCGTTTCTGCAGAAGTGAATGTTTGACTAATTTATCCGGGGTGTCCTGGCGATGCTGACACCCTGGAGTTCTTGTCCAGGCATTGTTGGCATTGTTTTAAGCCGGGACATTTTGTGTGCTTCCCACATGCGATCGCAGTAATCACTTTCTTTTGCTGTGGGAATGATCGGGAAATTGTGCCGAGACACAGGAAGGTGATGGGTCCACGCAGCGCTGGGCTGGGATTCTACAATTACCATTTGTGAAGAGAAACTGTTATCAAAAGACCGGCAGGAGACCATCTTGGGGCACCTCTCCAAGTCAGGAAATTTGAAACATATATTTCACAGACACGCATTTCCCTGTAAACCCCACTGCATAATGCATGAGGCTTGATTTAATGTCATTGTTAATTCGGGGCTCACAATGGCAGGCTCTTAAGGGAGCCATCATTTTTCTTTCTTTCTTTCTCCCTGGCAGCAGAACTCTGAGACCCTTCGGGGTTATTCAGCATTCTGTGAGCACAGACATCATGATGATGGGGGGAGGAGGGCGGGGTGCATGTGCGCATTCATGGTGGCCTTTCCAGAGGCTGTGGTGGGGACATGGTGGGTCGGCTGCCTCAGATGCCGTACTGAGCCTTGCTGGGAGCCCACTTTGTTTGACTGTTTAGGGTCAGAGAGGAAGGGTTGTTAGAAAGAAGGAAGGAAGGAAGGAGAGAGGGGGAGGAAGAAAGGGTGGGAGAGATGGGAGGGAAATGGGAAGAGAGAAAAAGAAAGACATGCAGAGAGAAAGGAAGAATGAATGATAGAGAAGAGAGAAAGAAAAAAGAGGGAGGGGGAAGAAAGGAAGGAAAGCAAAGGGGGGAAAAGAAATGAAGAAACCAAAGTGAAAGAAACGAAGGGAGAAAGAAAGGCTCTTAGGATGACAGAAAGAAAAAAAGGAGAAGGGGAAGAAGAAAGCACAACGAGTTTCATGAAGCCGAGGGGAATCCATGTGCCTCTGGGCCTGGGAACGACAGAGCCTGGTGGGTGGGTCACCGGGGAGCCAATACACGTGACTGGAGCTTGGCTGGGGGCGACAGGAGGGGCTGTGGAGAAGAGAATCCAGGAGGTACGCCACCCGGGGCTCCTCTCAACACCGAGGTCAGGCCGGAGCCCTCGGCAGCAGGCAGGGCATTTGGTGAAGGGTATGTCAGCTGAGGGCCACTTCAGGTGTGACACATGTGTGACAGTGCTGAGCAGCGGAGATGGACACCAGGAAGACAAAGCTATTTTTTTAGTCTCAGCCATCTCTCAGGGTCCAGCCCTTCTGCGGTGTGACAAGGTATCATCTACCTACCGCTCACCCTCAAGAACTGCGTGGTCGAGTTACCCCCTCCCCCATCTCAATCCCCAGCAACGCTCAGGGATTTAGCAGCTTATCCATTTTGGGTTGTGCTGTGACCATAGCTAGGGCGGATTGTGTCTGAGCCTCGGGTTAGACATGCTGAGCAGTTTTGATACAACCAGGGAATAATGTCGACATGATTGTCCAGGGGCAGATACAAATAAGCAGACATCCACATTCGGGGGAGCATTCAGCTTTCTCAGTGCTCTGTGCCCAGACAGGAATCAGGCAGAGGAGATCAAGCATGCTGAGGCTAACAGACCAGGGCTGGGAACTGCACTTCTAGCTCAAGCCACCACAGAGCTAAACTTTCCAGAGACGGACGGGTGCATGTGGTGTAAGCCCCCACTGTCCAGTAGGGAAGAGAAAGCCCAGAGCCTCCCTCAGCCTCACTTCTCCATGAAAACCACAGAGCAGAAGCCCTCACCGGTTTGGACACAGCTATACTGGTTAACTTCTGACACAAGCTATGGTCATCTGGAAAGAGAAATCTTAGTTGAGAAAATTCCTCCGTCAGATTGCTTGTAGGCAAGTCTGTGGGGCATTTCATGACTGGTGATTGATATATGATCGCCCAGCTCTCTAGGGACAGTGGCATCCATGGGCTGGTGCTCCCAGCCCAGAAAGCAGGCTGAGTAATCCATGAGGAGCAAGCCAGTAAAGCAGTCCTCCATGGCCTCTGCCTCAGTTGCTGCCTCTATGTTCCTGCCTTGGGTTCCTGCCCTGCCCTCCCTTCATGGGCGCCTGTAACCTATGAGCTGAAGTTTTGGGCACCATGTTTTCAACAGCAGACTCAATCTCTCTGTGTCTTCTGCATCTCTGGGGCAGAAGAGGGAATGCTTCAATGACTGCTTATAAGAGAAGGGGCTGCCCTGCAGGATCAGTCAAGTGGGTCCCCAGGAATCAGGTGTTTGCAGATCCACTCACCAGGTGGCAACACCATCTGGATCAGAATGATGTGTTAGCAGGGTCCGGGTTCTCAGGCAGGTCTCCGTTCTCGTGTTAGCCACTGAGTAAAGCCTGTGCCTTCAGGGATGTGGAATGTTCTCCACAGGCTCCTGTGTTTAAAACTCAGCCTTTAAACCAGTTGTTTAAAACCAATTGTTGTGACAATGTTCTGGAAGTTTCTGTAAACTTTAGGAGAGGAGGAAGTGGGTCACTCAGGGGTGGACTGTGAGGCTCATAGCCTGACCTAACTTCCTGTCTCGATTCTACTTTCTAGTCTCCCATGAGAAGGTCCCACAATGCAGCTCTTCCTTTAACACCATGTTGGACAGGCACTGGGGTCACCACCCAGTTTGGGACAGCCCCCATGCAGGCCTGGAGGGACTGACAGCAGGTATCTGAGGTGGGCTTTTGTCCCCAAGCATCCATCCCCTTCTGTCTGCAGCAGGAGCGTGAAGGCAGCTGACCCTGTGATGATTGTTAACTGTGGATGATCTGGATCCCAGCAGGAAGTCTGTGACCCAGGCCTAGCCCTTCAGTGCGTCCTCTGGCCACAGGGATTGGTCCAGGATGAGCACGTGACCTAAGCTTGTGCAATACGGGTAACATATCGAACTTTTTGCTGGTGACTTTGCTGCACTGCATTTGATAATGCACAGGGTCCCTTCTACAACCCTGAGGGGACAGTCTGTCTGAGGCCCCAGATCTGGAACCTTCTGGCAGACTGGCTGCCCAACGGCAGCTCTTCTTGTGTGGAGTGCCTACCATGTTCCTCTCCCCACTGTGGCCAGCCAGCTTGGCAGTGGACATGCTTTTCCACGGGGCCCTAAGCATTGCTACCCATGATCTCAAAGACCATCTTTCTTCAGTGCCTCTGCCCAAGGCACCATGTGCCCCGTTCCACCTGCTGGAGGATAGGAGTAACTGGTCAGACAACTAAGTCTCCCCAGCTGATAGCCAACTCAGCCAGGGCATGTGCAAGTCTCCCAAGGACCCTTGAACTGTCAGGTAACCCATCGATTGTGGCCAACCTACAGCTGTGTAAGTCACTAGGTCCGATGGCCTGTCACATAGAGACTGCTCTGGGCCCCTCACCCACACATTTACATCCCCTTTAGGTCACATTGCACTGTGGTTCAAAACAGCCACCCACCCTCACACAATGTATTTCATTTCAGCCATAGGCCAGAACCATGATGGACCCAGCAATCAGAACCACAAAATTCTCACTAAAAAGTTCTGGGTTCATTTAATTCCTGTGTCTTCTTACAGACAATAAGTTCATAGAACAAACGGGGACACAGATGCAACACAGGTTGCAAGGCGGCATCTCCAACTTGAGGTGTCTCCTGCCAGTCAGGGGACACGGAGGCGCGGCAAGTATGGTGAGGCCCGGGGCGTGCCTGTGGGCGTGAATCCTCTGGTGACAGGACCAGCCTGTTCTACTTCCACAGTGTTCTGCGTGTGCTCCCCGGGGGCCTCCTGGGCGCTGAAGACTTTGTCGTAGTACTCAATCAGCAGCTCCGTGAAGAGGTTCAGAGGTACCAGGGCACTCAGGGAAGCCACCCCCTGAGACGGCCAGATCAAATTCAGCCCGAACACACATGCCAGGTTTGAGCTGGTCATCTTGTTTGAAATGCTCTCCTGAGATACCTGAAAGAGGCCGCAGAGGAAACCAAGAAATGAGCCCCCAGGCATCAGCAGCCTAGATTCTGTCCTCACCCCAAAGAAGACTGGTGTGGTAGGGAGAGTTCTAGATGATTCCGTCCTCACCCCGAGGGGCTGGTGTGGTGGAAAGAGCTCTGGAGGCAGAGGGAATGGACTGGGGAGGCGGCTCAATTCGTCTCGCCAAGTGCTTGCCACACCAGCCAGTTTGGTCCCCCGAATAATATAGTACACGCCTGTAATCCCAGCACCGGGGAGGCAGTGACAGGTGGATCCCTGGGGCTCACTGGCCAACCAGCCCAGCCTACTTGGTGAAGTCCAGGCCAGGGAGAAACCCTTTCTCAAGAAACAACAATGGAGCCAGTGAGCTGGCTCAGTGGGTAACAATAGCTTCTGCGGAGCCTGGCAATCTGAGTTTAATCCCTGGGGCCGACAGTTGTCTGAGAGAACCTGCTGTTCCCTGCAGACGGTCTTCCAACCCCCATGTGGTATGCATGCTGTAACGTATGTACACATGTGTGTGCATGCACATACACACACACACATAAATAAATAATAAACAAACAAAAGAGTTCTGGAATGGAGGCCGCAGGTAATGTCAAAATCCATACATGCAAAGCCAAGAATGTGACATCATATGACAGACTGTCCCCTCTGTCCCTCCTGGCTCCCATCCCTGGGCATCGCATCAGACCATCAAGCTTCTCAGAGGAGCTTGGCTGGACCTTGAGTGACATCCTTTGGTGGTTAGAGTGGAGTGGGCGTGACTTTGAACCTGGGAAAAACAGCCCGGGTCTGTGCTGGTGAGAAGCCCCAGGGCCAGTCCTAGGGCTGGGCTTCCTCATCCTGGGAGGCAGCTAATTCCACTTACCTCATGCAGGAAGCCCATGAGGTAGCGGAGGACGGTGTAGTTGTGCTCCGGGAGGCTCTGCAGGATCAGGCGACAGTGTGTCACACGCAGGCTGCTCTCCACACCTGCAATGGCATGAGGCTGCTGGCCCAGGCGGTACAGTCCTAAGGCCAGCCTGGCCCTGTAACTCGCTAACACCCTACTACTTCTGCCAGGCTCCTTCCTCCTCTGTGTAATTGCCTCAGAAACGACTGATCGCTGGCAAGCAGGGCAGTGTGTCACTCTGCAAACAGGAAAAGGCTACACCAGGGCCAGCAATTAACACAGAGACTGTAGCCCACATCTGGCCCAGCGTGTTTCTTTGTCAATAAAGGCTTTATTTGTTCTCTCTACCTTCCAAGTGTTGGCATGAGAGGCGTGTACCACCATGCCAGCGATCAGCAATGTTTTACTTGAACACAATGTAGCTGTGTGTTGACACATTGCCTGGGGCTGCTTGAGGCTTACAGCGAAGGGGCCAGCAGCTGCCATGGAGGCTGTGTGGCTGGGAAGGCTGAAACATTTACTCTCTGGCCTCCTCTAAAATAAATGCACCTTCCCATGAGTCTTAGTACACAGATCACCACACTGTGCTGTTCTTCTGGAAAGCCCCACATTCGGGGGTGGAGACAGGGTGCTGGATCTAACTATTTTCACACATAGACCCTCAGTTCCCACCATTGCCCTTGATTTGAGTTTTGTTTTGAGACAAAGCCAGGCTGGCTTCAAACTTGTCGTATAGCTGAGGATACCCTTGAACTCCCGGTCCTCCTGCCTCCATTTCCCAAAAGCTAGGATTATAGGCGTATTTCTAGTTTATCTAGTGCTAGGGATGGAAGCCAGGTGCTCTAGCAACTAATCTACACCATCAGACCCTCCACCCACAGACATGTGCACAACCCTGTTTCTGAGCCCCCAGCCTCTGACACACCACTGTCCCCCTGCTAAGCCTGTGCAGTGACTAGGAGACCCTGGAGCTGTATGAACGCTCCTTCCAGGACCCAGGATTCCAGCCTATGAAAAGCCTGAGGGCTTTCTAATAAAAAAGGGAACCGAGCTGTGGTTGCTTAGTCATCTCGGTGGACAGTGGACAAGGAATGTCCTTGCCATTCCCATTTCCAGGGAAACAAGTGGCCGCCAGCTCCAGGCTGTGGATGACACGGTCTCAAGCCCCTCTTCAGAGAACAATGGCCTCAGAGAGGACATGGGAGGAACACAAGCCACTGTGGCTATTATGGTGGTCCTCCTTACCCTTCCCGGGGAAGCAGGCAGAGCGGCAGAATGTCACAACAATGACTGTGATGTCAGTCAGCTGAGCATATTCTTACTTGTTCTGAGCCAACGGTGACCTTGAGGTCCTGATCTTCCTGCCTCTGCCTTCCAGGGGAGGAGTTACATCTACACAGCACCGTGCCTACTTTATTTGGCACTGGGGTGGGATCTGGGGCTTCCTGCATGCCGGGTGAGAGCTCTGTTTACTGAGCTGCATCCCTACCCCTTGCTGTGCCGTCAATCCTCAGAAGAGCCCCAGTGAACGCAGAGGGGCTTCATGGCTGCCCCAGGTCACACAACTGGTGACAGTCAGCTCTGGACAGGGGCAATGACTCTCCTGACTCCTGGGTAACCAGTGTTCTCCTTGTCTCTGGAGACTATGGCCATCAGGAAGCTTCCACAGGGTTCCCAGGAAGTGCCTGCATACTTCACTTGAACGAGAATTGTTGCCACCTGAGTAGGGCCACCAGGCAAGCTAGGGTCACTCTCCCCAACCCTAAGGACAATTTGGCCCACTCTATGTCAGCAGCAGCCTACAGCCTCACTGAATAGAGGGGTGGCCCCAAGTTCCCCTCTGCTGATCCGCAGGGCGGGGCAGAAATGAGGCCAAGGTTGGGCAGACACTGCCTCAGCCGAGACAAGAGGCTGGAGTTGGCTCAGGTACATACTGGTGATCCCGAGAATCTGCTCGTAAGCTTGGAAGGTCAGGAGTGGCTGGGGCAGCTCGCGCAGGAAGGTCTTCAGGATCACAGCTGGGACATGCATGTCTCCGTAGTCATCAAAGTTCACCGGCTTTCCTGAACACAGGAGGGCACAGCTGAGCAGCTTACTCAGCCCATGGCTTGCGAGCTGGAGGGGGAGGTCACAGCCGTGTGTCCCAGGGAGGCCTCCGTCCCCACCTGGATACGGGGTTGCTGTTCCCCACCAGCTATCCCCTTCCTGCTCCTCCCTCCCTCTTCTAGGGTGCCCATGGGGCCAGCCATTGGTTCCCTCCAGGTAAGGTTTGGCTCTTCATGGAGATTGAAGCTCCAAGGTCAGGGCCTTGTCTCTGGGGCTCCACACAGGACCAGGCTGGTGTCTAATGCCCAGCTCGGGACTGTGCGGGCCTAGTGTTTGATGACTGAATGTATAATTACAGGAACATGGCGGGCTCAAAGCGGGGCTGGGGGGCAAGTGTTCCTGGGAGCAAGATAGCTACTTGCTTAGTGATATTTTGGTGGTACCCCTAGCTCAGATGCCAGTTCTCTGCTTGCAGGGTCGAGGCTGCCTATGTAAAGCCATAACTTGATTTCCCTACCTTGAAGTGTTAGTTCAAATCATGTGACCACGTGGTGTCAGTGGAGAAGGTACACAGACAATAGGAGCTGGGGCAGTGCCTTGCCTAGCAGGCTGGTGTCTGGACACAGGATCCCCTTGCTCTACAATGGGATGGTGGTTGGAGTTCCCAGGCAGCAGCCTTGCCCAGACCTGTCTCTAGGGTTAGGTGGGGTATGGAATTACCGAGAACTGGGGAGTGGCAGTCGAGAATCAGGCAGGAGGGAGGGGTCTGGGGCATTACCTTGATCGTACAGTCGCTGCACCTGGCGGACAGTCTGGGCGCTGGCCGATCTCCGGAACAGACCCTCCGTGCGCAGCCCTGCAGGAAGAAGAGACTGGACACCTCAGTTCCCAGAACTCTGGCCTGCCTGAGATTCTGCGAATCCCCTGTCTGCGGCATCAACCTCCCATGGCCACAGGTCAGGTTTTCCAGTCACCCGATGTCCCACCTAAATCTCTCTCCCTAAGAGAAAGGAGTGCGGAAACACACAAGCCCGAGCTCCAGTAGCCCCTGCCGCCTAGCAGCTTGTGACCCTGATTCTTCACCACCAGTTTCAAACATCACCAGGCCCCGGTTGGCTTCACAACCAGGAGAGAAAGTCAGGAACAGCACCCTAGAACACACGAGAACACTAGGCAGCAGCCTGGAGGCTAAAGTCCTTCTGGTCTCTCCTGCATCTCCTTCCTAGCTTTTCCACAGCCCCACAGTGATGCACACATACCCAAGGTGGCCACGCTGTACATGCAATGCTTCTTTCTGCCTTCAAGCCATGATCTCAGAAAGCTGTGAAGCCCAAGCCTTCCAAGTCAAAGGGTATACCCATCCATGGGCCATGGAGCCTGCAGACCCAGGCTCAGCCCAGACAGTGAACCTGCTGCTCACAGGGATGCACACACCCAAAACTCTGTGAGTTAGGTAGGTATTGGTATTAACCCCGCTGGACAGACCAGGGGATGGTGGCCCAGATAAGGTAAGCAGCTGGCTCCAGGTCACACAGCAAGCACACAAAAGACACACACACACACACATATACACACAGGTATTTAAAGTCAGATCATTTAAGGCCACACCTGGGGCCACTGTGCATCTAATGCTTGCTCAGGTCTCAGCTCCAGCAGCTTGTAGGGTATTCAGGATCTGAAACAAAGTCCTTCTAGAAAGGCGCTGTTGCGTGACCTAGCCAGAGCTAGCTCCTTACCTTTCTCCCTCAGGTACGTCACTGTCCACCGCAGCACAGGGGGGATGAGCTCGCCTTGATTTTTGTCTTTGAGGCTGAGGAGGAAAAGAGTACTGGCTTATTCCAGACCCTGATGGCAGGCACGGCCAGCAGAAGGCCCTTGGATTCCCCTTTCTGAGAAAATACAACATCAAGGAGTGTCCAGGGATAGACACAAGCTCAGACCCCACCTACGGACACGAGAGTCCAAACACTTGGGAGACAACACAAAGCTGTAACTCAACCCAGAATATACTGCGGAGAACCCTGGGGACTGGAGGCTTCCCGGGGGCTACTTCAAGGCGGAGGTTTTGAGGGATGAGTAGGAGCTTGCCAGAGGACAAAGGAGTGAAAGAAAAAAAAAAAAAGCATTACAGACAAGAAGACACACAGAGAGATACAAGAAAGTCTGACTGTGACTGTGAGTATGGACCTAGGAGACCAGACGAGGTGTTCATCCAGTTTTAAAAGGCACTTGCTGGGAATGGTGTCACACACGTTTAATCCCAGCATGCGGGAGGCAGAGGCAGGCGAATAGATCCTGGTCTACATACATAGTGAGTTCCAGGACAGCCAAGACTACAGAGAGACTCTGTCTCAAAACCAAACAAAAGTACATATTAAAAACAGAACAGAGAGGTGGAGTGTGCACAGGAGCCCTGATGCTGCCAGTCAAACCCAGCACTGACCTCGCTGAGCCACTCTTTCCCCTTCTGTTGAGTGAGTGTGGTATGAGGCTTGTTGCCTGGGCTGGCTGTGAGATTAGCAGGGGACACATGAAACATCAGCAAACCTGCTCTGTTCCCATGTGGGCGGTCCCTGGATATTAGGGGTGAACCTATGTGGGCGGTCCTTGGATATTAGGGGTGAGCCTATGTGGGCGGTCCTTGGATATTAGGGGTGAACCTATGTGGGCGGTCCTTGGATATTAGGGGTGAACCTATGTGGGCGGTCCTTGGATATTAGGAGTGAACCTATGTGGGTGGTCCTTGGATATTAGGGATGAACCTATGTGGGCGGTCCTTGGATATTAGGAGTGAACCTTAAACACTTGGCTCAGTTCAACTAGGATGTCCATGTCACAGCAGTGATGGCTGCCACACACCCTGACTCCGTGCGTGGTTTGGTTTCACGGAAATCTTTCTCTCTGCTAAAACCACACATGTAGGACCCTGGAAAGGCACCAAGTAGCCATGAGACTGTCCGGGCCTCCAGAGACGTCCAGGAATGAATGGGCCCTTCCCAGCCTGTCCCAGGTCAGCTTCCCCTTTGCCAGCTCTCAGGGAGGAGGTGATGGGATGGGGAGAAGGGACAAGGCAGCACCTGCTGCAACACTGTTTTCTAGGGAGCCCGGAGCTACGCTACTGCTAACCAGATCCCTACCCTCCTGAGCCCCAGGCTCCCTGGTTCTGCAAAGCAAGGGTACTGGCAGAACCTCTCCAGGGCCTGAGGGATGTAGAGGTGTTGTTAAGCAAAAAACCAATGCTGGTGCTGGTGGCAGAAATCATTCTCATGCCAGCACTGAGTGGTGTCCCCAAGCAGAGCATAAACAGCCCATGACAGAAGGGAACATTTGGACCCAGTAAACTGTGCTGACCGTACAGGTCACACAGCAAATGACCAAGCTGGCCATCATTCTTGGAGAGTCCTGCTCAGCACGAGACAAGGCTGAGCCACTAAAGACCCCTCTGCCTGGTGCTTCGCTGCCCTTTGCTGTTTAAAGCAGATCCTTCGGGGACCCGCAGTGCCTTGGGAACCATCCAACCCCACCTGCTATGGCAGTGGAGAAAACCCAGGTCCCCATGGGGAGGGATTTTCCCCAGCCTCAGGCCACTGTCCTGTGTATCTAAGGAGTGGCATTCTACCTCTGCCTATCAGAGCTTACAGCTACTGGAGACCTGACCAGAAGTTGCTACTACCTATAGGGCATCCACAGTTCTGAGTTTCTGCAAGTACCCCACAGTCCCATGCCATCTCTCACCCCTCCAGCCCCTACTTGCTGGCCCAGACTTCCACCATGGACTCAGAGAGTCAGTGGCAAGAATAATAATTACCCACGTAGGAGAGCAGGTGGACCCCACTTGCTTTCTCCCCAGGCAGCTATGCCCAAGGCAATGGGGATATGTCACATCATGTCCCTCCTAAGCACCTCAGTGGTACTGGCAAGGACCAGGTCTCTGTAAAGATTCTTGGGCACATTAAACCCATCCCCTAAGCTGAGGTTCTAAGAGGCACCTACCGAAGCAGCGTGGGACACAGAGCAATGTCCAGGAGGATGGGGATACTTTGCTCATAAGCTTTGCTTGTCCCCTGGGAGAAGGGCTTGGCGTCAGTCAGAGCGAGGTTTTCCTGCTTTTGCATGCATTATATGCGTTGAATGCATAAATGGGAGTGCAGGGTGGGGAGGGAAGAGCCATTGCAATGAAGCTGGTTAGTTGGTTGCAGGCAGAGTGAGCACCTGGGTCTATCCCAGGGCGCTGGCTTTTTCAGCTCTCCAAGACAGTCAATGTCTTCTAAGCCTGCCCCAGACCTCTGAGATGTCATTTAGTTCCCAAGATGGGAGGGATGGCTGCAACTCCCACCACCATGGAGCCCCTTGGCCACAGGGTCAGAGCCAGGGAGGTCCCGGATGCCAAGGCAGCGGGACAGCGCCGACGGGTTAGTGGCAGCTGACTGTGCATCACACGTCTTTGTTGGTGATGTAAATGTAAAAGGGTAAATGATGCTAGTGGCATCAGTTCATGCCCATTTTCATAGAGGACAAGCTGAAGCTCGGAGAGGTAAATTATTTTTCTTGAAGACACACTGCTTAGTGTGGGCTACAGCTAGGGTTGAAATCAAGCTAAGCAATGGCTCAGCAGTTAAATGTGGGCACTCTCCTTCCCAGGGAATCTGAGTTCAGTTCTCAACACCTATATACACATATGTGTGTCAGTTTGTAGTCCTTGGAGCCTGGAAAATAGCACCAGATATATACAAGAACAGACGTGTGTGTGTGTGTGTGTGTGTGTGTGTGTGTGCATGCATGTGTGTATTTTATTTTTTTTATTTTTTTATTTTTTTGTCCTTCTTCTCTTTCCTTTTTTTTAAAATTTATTTATTAAATATTTCTGTCTCTTCCCCACCTCTGCCTCCCCTTTCCCTCCCCCCCCCCCCCACCACNNTCTCTCTCTCTCTCTCTCTCTCTCTCTCTCTCTCTCTCTCTCTCTGTCTGTCTGTCTCTTCCCCCCCTCTCCCCCCCGTGTGTGTGTAAGGCCCCCCCTCCCTCGTCAGCCCAAAGAGCAATGTGTGTATTTTAAGATAGGACTTTTCTGCATATCTCTGGATGTGCTGAAACTAGCTATGTAGACCAGGCTAGGCTGGCCTTGAACTCACAGATCTCCCACCTGCTTCTGCCTCCTGAGTGCTGGGCTTAAAAGCATGCACCACCACACCTGGCAACACACAAAATGCACAGACTACAGCTTGTTTACTGAGTTGGGGTCTGGAGGCTGTGAGGGTGCTAGGAGGTGACAGGACAGCAGAGCTCAGAAATGCTGTGGCCTCATGTCTATGGAGCCAGTCGTCTCTGGGTGAGGAACTAGAAATGGCTTCACAAGTGTCTTGAAACTTTGCTGGTGTGGAGGGCCTATTCCTACCTCTGTTGCTATAGCAAGAGGCCTGATGCTGTATCATTTACAAATAAAACACATTTATTTCTTATAGTTCTGGAGGCAGGAAGTTTAAGTGGAGGCAGGTACTGCATCTGCCTGGCTCCTGGCCAGGGCTTCTCACAAATTATAATGTGGCAAAAAGGGGGCTGAGCACAAAAGAGGAAAAAGCATGAGGAGCTCCCTACCTATCTTCCCACAGGCGAACGCACTAGAGAGAACACCCAGGTCTACTCATGAGGGTGGAGCCTGTGGCCTGGGTGCCTCTTGCTATGTCTCATTGCTCTACTGGGAACAGCAGTTCCATCCAACACACTGGCTTCCAGGGATGCTGATACCATAGCCGGAGGCCTCAGTAAGTTGAGTCAGCATGCACAGCACAGAACCAGGGTCCAGGGCAGCCCACTCCCCACCACTAGGCCAATCAGAAGGAACCAGGTCAGATACTCTCAGGACATCAGCAAAGCATGACACAGGGCTGGGGATGGGGCACGCAAAGGTTCCTGATGTATAAGCACACAGGCCTGAGTGTAAGCCATGGAACCTACACAAAAAGCCAGGCAAGTAGGATGCGTTTATAATCCCTGTGCCAGGGATGCAGAAATAGGCAGATCCCTGGGCTTCACTGATCCAGTCCATAATCATTGAGCCCCAGGCCAGTGAGAGACCTTGGCTTGGAAAATAAGGTGAGTGATAACCTGAGGAACAACACCTGAGATTGTTCTCTGGCTTCCACATGCACGCACACACACACACACACGACAATCTACAAAACAGGAGACTATATTTACAAAGCATGTCTTATAACAATCCAGCATCCAGGGGCTGGAGAGGTGTGTCAGTGATGAAGAGCATTAGCTACTCTTTCAAATCATCTATCTCGTTTTGATTCCTGGCACCACGTGGTGACTCAACCATCTCTAACTCTGGCTCCAAGTAATCCAACACTTTCTTGCATTCTCCACTGTTGGGACCAATTAAGTCCTGGCCTTCGGCTGGATGTTGGGATTAATTGAGTCCTGGCTTTCAGCTGCTCTGAGCACGAGACCTTCAAGAGTTCCTGATGGCAGGAGAGTGGTTTCTGGTGGGTTTGGCTGGGCCGTGGCTATCTCTATATAATCTGCCCCTGAACACAACAAAGGGGGAATTCAAGGATGACCCGTGTCTCTGTCTCTCTGTCTGTGAGTGTTTGTGTATTTTAACCTCCAGCCCCCTTGGCCGAAGCTCGGTAACTGGGTTCAAGCGTACCGAATACAGACACGGGGGCGCGGTGCACGGCATTCCACAGGTGTAATGCATAGACTACATAGTGTATGCAAGCAAAACAACCCATATACATTAAAAACAACTTTATTTTAAAAAACTAGACTGTATTTTTATCTATCTATATCTATTTATCTATGTAT